GCGCAGTTGATTGTAAACTAGAAATTTTTTGAAAGGTAGTTGTTTTGCATACAACATTTTTACCCCAAATAAATGAATGATAGCTTAGTTAAATGCCCACAAACAGCACCTGTGCATTTAGGCCACATTAAACTTTTGTGTGCGTATTACACGTTGACTCTCTTTCTAATTTGCACATGTTTAGCGGATGCAAAAGCTGCACAAACATTTTTGAAAATCAGGGTGTATAGAAAAGTTAAGTAGCACACTCATCCATGAATCTTGAAGCTGTAAACATTTTGCAGTTTTGTATAAGTTAATAATGGATGGAAAACTTTTGGTTGTCAAATGACACATGAGTCACAATCACACACCCAAGTAGTTCATGCTTGGTACCAAATATAGAAACAAATTAATTTGCAAGTCATCACTTAAATCTCATATCTTTAAGCTAAGTTGGCAGTAAAACCTCCTTTCAAAAATCAGCCCAATGGCATTCATCTTTATCACTTTCTTCTTCCCAACTGAGCTGTCTCCCAAAACCACTGCCTCTGTTTGACTGATGCTGAGCCATTTTTGGGTTTTTTCCCCCCAACTTCCTTGGTTTCACATCTTTTGCCAAGTTCTTGCTCAACTGACTCTGAGGTACCAGACTACTGCTGTAAGGACATTTTGGGCTAGTTTTCTAATATATGCACAGCATCTGACTGAAATCCAAGCTTGATGCATAATGAATAACAAGAAATAAATGATGAAAAGTTTCATACACCTGGGCACCATCTGTGTCAAGTAGGTTCTATGTTTGGTTTCTTCCCCCTTTTTCTATCCCTTGATGTCACTCCCCTTCTATTCTGTGTTTCATAGAAAGAGGCCCCTTTTTCCAATGAAAGATGCTGTCAACACTGAAAATGTTTGTAAAATGGAGTTGAAGTTGTGCATCATTTTCCTTTTTGGCTTTCGACGCAAGCACTTATTTGGTAGTGAGTTAGACAGAGTTAGAGGGTTTGGCTGGGATGACTCATGGACACGGAGGGGAGGATATGTAGCGATACACTCCATCATCTTCTTTCCTACTCAATCCCCTTTCATTGCCTTTAAAGATAAAAGCACTTGCTCTGCCCTGAAAACGGATGAAAGCTGTCTACAGCAGAAATGTCTACCAAACCTATCTCTGAACTCACAAGTTATAAATACTTTTAGCTTTTCCCCCCCTCTCTTAAGTTCATAAATAATTCTTTAAAAAGAATCAATGTCATGTATTGTCTTGGTAAAATTTGCAAAGCTTTGACTTCTCTCGTTCTAAAAGATAACACATTTATTATTATAAATAAGACTTTCCTTAACTTCCATCTAGATTATTGGTATTTCCTTCACATGTTCCTCAGTCAAGCTCTTTATTTTGCCGAATGTATTACCTAAAACTATCCTTTGGTCCCACATGGCCTCCTTCTTGTATTCCACTTCTTGACCACTCTGATTCTGAAGTCTTGGCCTTTTATCATGCTCCCACTTCAAACTGTAAAAGTAAAGGTGAAACAGGCCTTTGATGTTTTAGTACAAACCCTGAGGAATCATCCTCCCCAATCTATCAGATTTACTGAATCTTTTGACTGTTTTCAGCAGTTCCTAAAAATCCATCTTTAAAGACAAAGCTTTTATAGCTTTTCTTATTTTTTGTTCCCTAAAGGTATCTCTCTTTCAAAAGCAGTAGCAGCCACAGTTCCCAAAATGTGATGAAAGGTTGAATCTCACCAACTACGACAGCCAAAATTCACATTTCTAGGATGTGTCTCTGAGCCCAATTATATATAAAACACACAAACAAATTGACCTAAACTTTTGTGACCGCAAACCTGTATATACAACATACAGCCATTAATAGTTAGACAAATTCAACGATTTCATATCCCGAAATGAAATGCTCTCCTTGAAACAAGCCTCAACATGACACTCATGAAGACTGATAGAAGTTTGGATTTGGGAAAAAAAAATTCGTAATTTCTTTTAGTTGAACAGCCAAATAATTTAACTATCAAAACTACAAATCAATTAAAGGCTTTATATGTGATTTTTTTGATCCAGCAGATGTCGCCCTTGAGCACCAGCATGAAACCAAAACAACTCGCGGTGCATTGTTGTGTTAGCATGCTAATGCTAGCGATCTTTATTATGCTGGTATCTTCACACTGCATGTAAATTTACCTGAAATGAGCGTGATCTAGAAACACAGTTAAGCAGTGAGTAGAGTATATTATTCTTATTTTCTCTAGTCCCTCAACTAAACAACTTTTAAAGGCAAGTTGATGAGCCCGACTGCCGTCCGGGCGATGTACACAAAGTGAAGCTACGGCTCAGAAAGCTCCGACAACATCACAGACAGTGGGAATCGGGTGTTACACTCATTGTAGACAGTCATGACTCACAGAGTTATTTTCAGAGGATATACTTGATTTCTATTACAGTTAAGTGTGAAAAATCACATATAATTCCTTTAAAGCCCTTGTTATAATTGTTTGAAGTTCGAACTAACAAAATAAAACAATAGTAAACGTCTGGCTCATGTTATGTCCCATATTGTAAGAATACATGTGCAAAGCACACCAAAATTGAAAGGTGAATTTCAAATAATTGGTTGCCTTTAGCATGTCATGGATTTATTCCCATAAAGAAACCTTTTGCCATCTTCTGGTTCTGATTTTAAATTTTGGTGAAATAATTTTTTTACACAATTTTAAACAATGTACATCCTTCTGTCAGACAATATTATTCACAGTTAAAACCTGTTTATCTTTCTATCCCATATTAGATTGTATATTTGGTCACCAACATAGTACAAATCTGTATTTGTATGTCTGAGGTTAAAATTTCTGTCTGACATCGCAGCTTATGAGATTGAATAGAGCTTCCATCATTTTTGTGTTGATCACAGCTGGAAACCTGTTTTTGATTCTCAATAAGTTTGCAGAATTTGAAAAAAACACTTTAATCCTGAACTCTTTCAGAAGATCCACCAGAGTCTTGTGAAGTTAAAGTGTCTCTCATCTTTTCTCGTTTCATATGTTTCCTTAAAATGTTTTAGGCTTTAGGTATGGTGACGGTGCAGGACAAGCTTCTCAAGTCAGCCCCTCCTGGCTCTCCCTTGGACTTCAAACAGACCTGACTTCACTTTGATGTTGCTCTGGGTGATTGTCCTGCTGGAAGTTAATCGTTTCTCACACAACTTGAAGCAACTTTCAGTAGCTGCTCTCTTTAGTTAATGTGATCCTCTGGATGTCACATCTCAAGGATCCCAGCATCTAAAAATGTCCACTTACATGCAGTGCCAGGCAGAAAGCTTTTCTATCTTGACATACATCATGGTTAATGAATGCATGAATTGATTTACATTTTATTTTCGTGTCTGGTCATGTTAATAGCACTTTTTAGTTACCCTTCTAACTTGGGACTAGTACTCTAATTTTCCATTGCTTTTTACTGTATTGTTTTTTAGATCAGACTCGGAGCAAAGGGTATGTGGGTACAAACAAGATCTGTAGGCGGGGTATATTGTAAATCTAGAAAAAAGCGCAGGTGATGTCTTTCTGAAAAGTTGAAATATTTTCAACTTAAGCGCATGGAGCGGCCGCACAAAAAAGGCAGAGCGCTGGGTAAAAAAAAGACACTGGGCGCATCGCTTTTTCTCCAGACGGCCGCCTGCTGCTACACACACTCTCTACTCTTGGAAAACAAATGAAAAAAGACGCTGGTGCTCAGAAAAAAACACTAGATGGACACGGGCCTTCAAAACATATATGTCAATTATGGATAGCAATATCTCATCTTTTCCAAAATAGTTTTTGCATATTGTTTATGACCAAATTCTCAAACTTCAAAGGCAAAGGTTGCAGCAAATCCATTTTTGATAATTAATCGTCTGTTAAATTTGTGTGAATAAACTTCCAAAATTGTTTTTCTTTTTGAAGTGTCAGAGTGGTCGCTTTAGGCAAAAAACAAGCTATGATGGCAAGACGAAAAATCAATTCACTTTCAAGCCACTTTTGCTTCTTTTTTCCGCCGTTAGAAGCAATTGAGATGATCTGTTTTAGTTAGAAGACATGCAAGAACTTTAAGTGAAGAACTATTATATTTGATAGTATTAAATTATTCATGTTTTATGGAACAAGACGTTATAAATCCATGCACAGTTATTTTTGAATAGTTCCTGTTTTTCCCCAGAACATATTTACCTCTATCCTACATGAAAATAGAACAAACTGCTTTAATATCCATTATTTAAATGGTTTCCCATGATAGTTATGGACCAAAACACATTCCAACACCTGAGTGTTCTTCAGCATCACCAACATTTTCTATGCATAATGACTCAATACTGATTGCTCACTGTCAACTTGTTGACATTGGCTATGGGATTGAAAAGAGCTGCCTGTATTGATTGTCACTGATAATGTTGAAGGTGCAATCATTAACCCTGTCAGTGTGAAGGATTGGGACACTGCTCAGGCATGAAGGAAGCCAACATACGCAGCACATCAAACTCCACTTTGCTCACCTTCCACATGCTCTGTGATTTGTCTGGATGGCGTGAATTGTGAGTCATCACTTGTCATTGAATTGCCTGCTTGAAAGATGACAATATATACCTCATTGCTCATACCGTGTGCCTTGTCTCCTCTGCAGTGCTCGTCTGGAAGAGCGTGTTTTCCAACCTGAAATGGTTGTCATTTCAGTTTAGCCCTTGAAAACGATTCTTCCAGTGTAATGGAACATTGCACCCAGGTCACAAACACCCAAATGGAATATTGAAAAATGGAAGTGTCTAAGTAGTGGGTGTCAGGTTCTCAGCTGACTTATTGCTTCTGGGGAAATATTTGACTCTGATGCCCCTGGGAGATAGATGAGATTTCTTGCAGAATGATAATGGGGTGTAACATCAGATTTGAGCTAATTTGTATTCAAAATGGCTGATTGCATATGAAGTAGTTAAACAACTCTGCACAAATAATCCATGTCTCTTTTTGCAGATAACAGTCTACTGAAGGCTATTGAAGGTGCACGTTTGGACTGTGTGATAAAAAACCACCCTGCCCTGGTTTCCATGATGCACCTCCTTCCAGAGAATGTCCTGGTTTCTGGAGATGAGGACATTCCTGGGATTGCAGCTTCTCCAACAGGTAAACATCATATGATAGGATCAAGTTCTCCTGTAAAATAAATTATTATTATAAAAAAGTTTCATTTAAAAAAGTACATGTCTCTCCAGGTTAACTGAAGGGGTTTATTTGAGAAGGTAAGATGACTAAAAGCATTTTTGGGAGAAGGAATGCTAGATAGTTTCCAATTCTTTTTATCTCTGTCCTGCGTTAGTAGCACATTTTTTCATGTTATTGCAGAATTTGATGCATTTTCTATGACACTACTTGAGCACATTTTCTTCCTTTATTCTGTGCTCTTTTAAGACATGACCAGGAAGTCTATATTGCTGGAACCAGGGTTTAGTACAACTACCCATAAACTAAAGTTTCACTGATAGATACGCTGATGATCGGAATCTGCTGATTTTCAGCATGCAGTTCGGCTGTGACCGCTGACCCGCTGGTCTTCACAAATATAGCTGATTCTGAGCTGATCTCAGGGACTTTTACGCCGTGCGTACATTAACACAAATATGAATACAACACACACACACACACACACACAGGCCAGTTGATGTGAAGTGTCCATCAGCAGAAGTGGAAATAATTTAACATAAGAGGATTAACAAAGACTGTTTCCTGGCACTCGCTCCACTTGTCCAAAAGTACCTTTATGCCCAAGGGCAGATCGGCGTGTCTGTGCCGCACGTACAGTATGTATATGTGCTCTCAGTCTCTCACAGGCTGGAGAGTGCAGTATGTTTAAATATCACTGAATTAATTTTCCTTATATTTTCTTTGGTTACAGAGGAACTTTTGAAAAGATAAAACCTCAGACACATCACTTTGCAGGAGATATTATAGATGAATACTGATAATTAATGGATGTAAAACATAATTTAAACTCTTATCAACCACAAACACTGTTTACCTAGGCAGCGAGAGAGATGCAGACAGGTTAGGCTCCCTTCCATTGTCTAATGACAGTCAACAAATGTAGTTATTTGTTGGGTAATTCACAAGTTCTTTAGAAATTCACAAGTTCTTTAGAGAGTGAAGCTGTAAACTGTTCTGTTTCTCTTAATTGATGTATTAATGACTAACATTACACAACCAGGGATAAAGAGAGTGTTAATAATAATGGCTGTTTAAAACTTTTCAAAGAGTGAACCTCATGCAGAAAATGTACTTTATGTATTATACTGTATATATAGATCATTTATTCATTTTATGTTCTATTTTACAAATATTAATCACTACCTCCATTAATTATGACATACACATACACACTGGTTTGACATTGCAACTTTCTAGAAGGGGGGGGATTTGTCTGAGTGAGAATGAGAGATGGTCATGTATTTTGATTTTTTTTATTAAATAACTTATGTATCAACAATTATGAATATTAAATACAATGTCATTACAGAAAAGTTGCAGAAATCTCTTTTTCCTGCTTTCAAATATGGTGCTTAAGAGAAAAGAAGAAAAACGACATGAATTTGGATTTGACCAAATCAGTTCAATCAGTGCATCTCTGCATTCAACTGTCAAAAAGTTGAAATAACAGTGAAGTCAACAAAGAGGGCAACTAAACTCAAGCTAGATGAATCAAAAATATGACATGGCTCAACCCAACACCTTTCAGCACATATCAACTTACATAACAAACATGGCATACTTCATCAAAAACTCATTTTGCTTCTACCAACTGTCAAAATAACATACACGACAGTCGTCATGGTAGCTGATTGTGGCATTTTCTAGGAAACTTACTTCCATCAGAAGTTAAAATGTCTGCAGTACTTAGAAAGTAAGTTTCTAAGGGGGAATGTAATGAAGTCTGACAGAGCAGAGCTATAATCATTGGGAGTCAGTGGGAGGTATGGTAGCTGGCTAATCCTCTTCATGTTCTGGGGCTGTGAGCAGCAGAGACCTAAGCTGCCTTTTAAGACCACAGCCACCAGTTTGATATTCACGCCACATTCAGAACAGTCCAACTCGGCGCTCCAGAGACAAGGAAAGCAATGAAACACTTGATGGCTGCATTACTCTTGAAGAGATCACAATCACAAAGGCTATTTTCTCTTTGTTGTGTCTGAAAGGGGTGATTGTGGACTTCTCAGCCTATCCTGCATCATCCATGGGCTCTAATGCACTCTTCCATCCATTCTGATTCAATTAAAGCCAAGTTTCCAGATGGAAACAGTTTCTGATAGATTGTTGTACACATGCATGGTTATCCCTCTCTGGGATTTATAATCCAGTGATTGGCAGTAGGCAGTTTACCATTGATCACTGAAGCAGTCATTTAAGTGAAGCTGCTGTCTCTAAGAATATATCTGATCAAATATATTTAAATCAAAGAATGAACGTTGACCTTGTTCACATTTGCTGCCACATAGTGGTGCCAGCTAATGGATATCTCCAAAAGGGAATGCACCATATGACAACAGACAGTTGAAGTATTGGAAGACATTTGATAAAGTTTCTGTTACAAAATTTAAAAACCCCCTGCCATTCACATCCTCTTTTCTGTGTCTTGTAAGCCCAGTGAGGCCAAAAGTTCCAAAAAGTACTCCTCTGAGCCAGCTTCTTGGGAGTAGATAAAAGTGTAAGACTAAAGTTACTATTCCATACTTTCAATATTGGTTGCTTCAAGATCGTGTATGAAGTGCTAGCTGTATCATGAAATTAGTTTCATGTACCATTAGAAAAGTTGAATAGAATAGTATCAATTTTATGAATTTCTAATCTAACTTTTATTACATAGCAAGACCAACCTCCTAATAGAACTAGTCTGGGCATAGGTCAAGGCTCAGAAGGCCAAAAAAGAGTGATATAAGCGACACCTTTTTTTCCCCACAGGTTTGAAACTGTGTTTGAAATGTTAGGCTTCAGAAAAGCAAGCGCAAACCCCTTGCTGCATGGCTTTATGGGACAGGTTGTGTGACTAGCCAGGTTGAAACAGTTCTTTAGAGAGAGACAGAAAGAAAGACAGAACTGCTAATGAAAGCATGCATTACAAAGTTTTCTTTACAAGAGTGTTCTGCTGAGAAATACAACACAAGCCATTAAAGCTGTCTAAGTCATTCAACCACTGATCTTTTTGTTGGGCTGAAAAGTATGATTATTCAATATTATGCACCCGCAGGTCTTCTTCAGGATGAATTCACACTGCAGAGTATCAAGTTATGCAACATTACACATTTTTCTTTCTGCTCAATTACTTTCTAAACATCCCAGCCTCCGATCTTATTTGGTGGCTCTTTATGAAAATTAGGGAACTGCAGCTGGGCTCATTTATATCCGTAGTCTTTGTAATTACCCTGCTAAATTGGAATAAAAATGCAGGGTCGCAAAATTTGAGCCCCTGACCCCTGTGATTTCCGAACGTTCACAGCGGAGAAAACTAAACTGCACTGGATGAATGTATAGGACAAATTTAAATCTGATGGTATTGCTGTATTAAATGACTAGGATCGGGCGGCTCAGTTGGTAGATTCGGTCGCCTCTCTACCAGAAGGTTGGGGGCTCGATCCCCAGCCCCATGCAGCCACATATCTGATGTGTCCTTGTACAAGACCCTTAACCCCAAGTTTCTCCTGCTACTTCGTCAGCAGCATATGAATGTGTGTAAATGGGATTAGTTAATTCTGATGGCCCCTTCACATAGAAACCACCCCCATCAGTGTGTGAATGGGTAGGTGAGACTTACGCTGTAAAAGCGCTTTGAGTAGTCAGAAGACTAGAAAAGCGCTAAACAAGCTCAGGTCCATTTAGGATAACCAAAGTATCAGAACCAAGTGATTACTAAATGTGAATGAGCAGGTGAAATTCCAGGAAAAGTCCCTGAATTCCCTAAACGGTTGAATGAGTGATAAACGGATTGACAGATTTACATTGTCATCCATTGAGATAGCTGTTGACCTTGTTTTAAAGGAGTGGTTCGCACATCCAACTCTCTCATGAAGTACGTGCGTAGGACATCAAACTATCACATTGAAAAATAACGATCCTGCACACTACTCTTGCTCGTCATCACCAATTTGTTGGAAAAAATCACAACATTTCCGTTCCTCTGAACCTTTGTCAAGAGTGTTTTCAGGGAACACACATAACAAAGGTTCAGAGGAGTGCAGAATTTAGTTTTCTTTTCAAGCTGTTCACCTTGTAAAGTACCCACAGACATACATTCTAGGAGTACGTCACATTTTGAATTAGAACATCTCTCAAGTCCAGAGTGAGGCAGACCATTAATAAGCTGCCATAAAACAGCAAATGTTTCTGGATACAACGCTTTGGCACTGAGTTGACACTACCAGTAAAGTAACATGAAGAAGTTTAGCTCGCTTTCTAAGATAAGACCCACACATGAGTAGTATCAGTAAGGCTAATGGCATAAAAAACTGTATCAAACTAAGCATTTTCCACTTGACCTCTCTCTTCTTCATTTCTAGCACATCTGGGATGTCATGATACATTTTCTGGGGATGATGAGGAATGTTAGGGGAACTTTAAAAAATGGGTCACTAAGATAAACTTTCAAAGTTTCTCAACACTTTTTAGACATTTATTTTACTTGCCAGTGGTAAAAAAAAAAGAAATCATCCTCTACAGCAGAAGTCTTCAAAGTGCAGAACAGTGACTCTCCCTTTAGAGAACATCAAGTAACCAGAGCCTTTTATATAAAGGGTGGCAACCTGAAAGGACTTACAATGGTTATCTTGAACAATCAGTCTTAATACCATTTTGCGCAATTCAATTAATTTTAATGAAGTGATTATTAATTGACTTAAGTCAGTGCCAATTTAATTATTTTTCTGGTGTTGAAAAATGAAAATTGAAGACATATTTTTCACCCTTTTGAAAAACAAAAACAAAAATCAGGAATACAAAACCAATCTGTTTGCATTGCTGCTTCCCAAAACCATCACAAGACAACCATACAAACCAACGTTGCCAAGTCTTGCTTAACCCTACCATGGACTGCAGCAATAACATAGATGGTAATCACTCAGTACTTGTATAGCCAAAATTGAGAAGGATGGGAACTCCGTCTACAAAAACAGCTACTGTCGAAGTGTGCAAGCAACACCTCAAACATGTTAGAGCTCAGGTCGAGCAGGGCCACCTCATCTTGGATGATCAGTTCATCCCAGTGCTCCGCTAGTAAGCTGAATGGATTTCTAGCCCTCTAATTCCCTACAATTTCCTCTCCAAAATAATTGCCAAACTGCTCCCGCGGCCACTTGAAATTTGCAAGGGCCACCCGATGTGCAGAGGCAAAGGCCAGCTACTTTGTTTAAAAAACGTCCTGCAGGATGGCAACTTGTCCACATTTCCACTCAGCCCTGTTTTTAAAAAAAAAAAGGAAAACCACAGATGACATTTTTTCAACAGTCATTTCAAATGTGTCATACAAACAGTCCAATCCTGCCCCCGAATTCTTCTCCTATGTGTGTTTGATTAAAGGAGTTTATTTGGGACTAGACATGCATGACCTCCTCATGCCTGTACACACAAGCTGCGGGAACCACTCCAGAGGACAAACAGAGAAGGTGTGCACCAATCTCATCACTAAAAAAGGGGAAAACAGATGATGGCGACCCTTCATTGTCCTTGCTTCTAGTCAATGTTGTTATCTTTTAATGAAGTAATTCAAGGCTGAGGTGTGAGCTGGCACGAAATGACGAAACAGGAACTCCACCTGGACATTTAGCTCTTTGATTTAGCGCACATAAATAATTAGCTTTGAGCAGTTGGCCACATTGATGGACTAGTCAAATTGAATGGAGAATAAGAGACTACAGCATATATTGTTCAACAGCTGCTCCTTCACATCCAATGCAACGTCAAATATACGGGGCTTGGCAGTGTTGTGAGCGAAGGGGATAACATTTAAATGAGCTCAATGTTGTGGAACTTAGTCACCCTTTGTATTGTGAGAAGTTACTTGAGAAACTGTATGACTTAGCTTTCAGTTTAAATGTTTTCTTCTGAGTCTTGAATTTCTTTGGTGATGTACCAAAAACTCGAGCAGCTTTGAAATCATGTTTCAGTTCTTGGTTTCCGGATGACTGTAGAGAATGCAGGGTAGTTATGAAATGGATCACAGTCGATCGGTGATCATTCAGATCACCAACCACAGTTCAGGATGCATGTGATCCGCAGATTTATTGAAAATGTCTGATCATGAGATAAAATACATTTACTGCCTTTTAATCCCTGTGGGGGAATAAGAAGACGAGTCAGTATCGATAAAAAAGTTTCTATGCAAGATTTTCTTTTAGACTTTGACACAGATAAGTGTTGTTATTACATGGTATGGTTACTTTGTTTCAATCGCTGCGTCAAATGTGTTTCAAACCAACTGACAGTACCAAGGGGAGCAAAATTCAACTTTTCGTAACCTGTAGCAACAGTAAGTGTCCAAAAGAAACTGACGTTGTAGACGCTGTCAGTACAAAAAAAAAAAAATAGGGAGATTTTTTTTGGTAAATATCTTCTTTTGTAATATGTGTTGTGAAAAAGGTTGCACCAGTGTTGTCATAAGTGAATTAACACGTGGGAATGTTCCTCACAGTGACATCTCTAATAATAATCACACATATCGCTTTATGTGAACATAATGTCAATGCATAATCATGGCATGATCATGCACTGACATTATGTTCACATTATGTCACCAGGCGATGCTCTGCTGAGGCCTCAGCTGCTCAAGATGCTGCCATTCAACCTGAACAGACTGACCATCTCCCTCCAGCCGTCCCTGGAGAAGTTTGAGAACAGGCTGCTGCAGCTGATCAATGCTGACTGCCATAATACAGTAAGTCCAGCCTTCCAAAACACACACACACACACACACACACACACACACACACACACACACACACACACACACACACACACACACACACACACACACACACACACACACACACACACACACACACACACACACAGACTTGATAGTCCATGCACATGACACATTGAGGACAGTGCTGAGTTTCTCATGATGGGCGTTCCACCATGTTTAACTGTCTTTTGATCCATTTTTCATACAGCGAGTCCACAGTATGGGCATCTCACTTACACATTTTAAAGAACTTTCACTTTGAAATAAATAAATAAAAACAAATATCCTTATAGTTAATACAAAAGCACATTCCCAATACTGATAACATTTCATACTTTGGGGATAACAGTTCACTACACTCCTGAAATTAAAGATTGCCACAATGGCCTTGATAAACCGCTGCCAAGATTATTTTCTCCAACCGTATGCTTTCCTTTATCTCACTTTCCATTTCTTTAGTGTGCAGGCACAAGCCATTTTACAGCTGCCACTGCAATTTAAAGCACATCACCTCCCAAACTAAATGGAGCTTATCTATTCTGCTCCCCTTTTTCTTGGCTATGGAAACCCAGATGGGTAACTGTATATGACAGGTGTAGCTATGGACGAGCAATTATTTGTACAGTGGCTTTGCACGGGCCTATCTGTTCACTTCAGCCTAAGTGAGCTGTGTCTTTGGTAGGGATGAGAATTAATATGACAGTGCTGTCACTCTGTATCTCATTCCTGCTGCGCTTTGATACTGCAGGGCCAGATCCTCAAACTCATCACAGGAACTCGAGGGAATGTTTAGGGTTGATTAAGTGGAGCAAATGGTAGGCTGATATAGTCCATATATTGTTTCAAGGAAAATCCCTGTCGTTACGCGTTTCATTCACTGAACTGAACCTCTTTGCCACAGCCTGATCGTGACTCATCATCCATATTTCTGATGAAGAGTATGGCTTGATGTGCTGTTTATTGTACTTAAGGGAGAAAATCAATCAATCAATCACATTTGATTTAGAAACCGCCAAATAACGCCAACAATCATCTCATGACACATGCTTGATATGTTGACAATCAAGGGGCATGTCCGCTACTTTCCACATGCTCTGGTAACTTTTATAGTCTAATATTTAAATGATCCCTTTGAGTAGTACCCACTATAAAAAATATGGGAAACGTGGCAGTTATCTACAATATTTGTTTGCTCATAAATTAGCCGGTCCACAGACTTTTTACACTGGCTGCGGCCATTTTACTATTAAAAACCAATGCAGTTCAGCATATTTAGTGATCTGTATACTAAGCTCCAAAACACCCTCAGCATCAGCCAGTGAAAAGCACTCTAAAACTGAGGTTGTGGGCGCTGCCAGCACAAAAGAAAGCCATTAATGGACACAGGTCCAATACAAATGTGACTTAGCTAGTAAAGCCGGCATGTAACATGCAGTGATTATATACAATGTTAAACTACTAAAGCAACTTAGTGAACAATAGTTTGTTAACATTTTTTAAACAGGTCTTACCTTTGGGGAAACAGTAGTCAATGAAATGTGTGGCAGATGAAGATGAACAGACGAAGACCATGCGCAACAAATGCATAAACTTTGACTTAAACCAAAGACCTCTCAATTACGAACATTAGTCAATTTTCCTCATCTTTGACTTTCCTTGTAAAACAAAAGTTAAAGTCTACTCATTTAGTCAGTCTTGGAAAAAGTGAGTAAATGAAATTAATAGATTACCAAATGTTGTTAAATTCTACTCAGTGTGACTGTTTACAACAATGAGTCATTCTTATCATAGGTAACTGTGTTTTATTTAGTAAATATAACTCAGGCCCAATCCTATTTCTTACAGTGTAAATGCAGTAGACACTCTGCTGAGTTTGAGGCTTTTAAATGGCTTCAGCCAACAAACTAATCTGAGGCCATCATGGCTAAATCCAGTCAACAGCTAGATGTTGACAGCTAGACTGTAGCTGCATATTGTTCGCTGGTTTAAAGTAGTTGCTCTTTCGTATTTTCTTGTAAACAAACACAAATCCAGAATGCTATACATCATCTTCTATAAGTTTGTTCTCTCTTTAGTCCATGGCTGTACTTGCCCACAACAGCAATTCTTCATGTGTTACCATCACTGTGTATAATGTAACCCTAATTTCCAGAAGAAATATTTGAATAAATATTAGCTTTTCTATATTTATATTCAACAACAGATGACATTTTAAAATATAGGGAAAATAATGAGGGCACTAATGTGAGGATGGCTAGTCCTTTCCCCTTTCTTTTCTTCCCTTTCACATAATATTGAGCCTGTAATGTGACCTTGCCCAGGGCCACCATCAGACTCTTGTGGGAGGGCGCTGTTCTTTCATGAGTCTAAATTCGCTTCCCTTCGAGAACTGCAGACAGAACCTCAGGAGGAAGTCTGTTCTTTAGGGACTCACAGCGATTTAATTTTAGTTATACTGAGTTACACTTAAAGGAAGACTCAGCCATCTCTTAGTTTTCCATGCTGCCCGGCTCCAGTGCAGACACTCCCAAGATTCCCCTCATGAATTAAAGCAGCACTTTCAGTCCCTTGAAGGGCCTGGATTATGTGACCAAAAAAGGATTCCAGTAAGCTAAGCTAATGCATTACTTGATGAATAGCCTCAAGAAAATTCCTAATTTAATTGTCACAAACTGTTATGAGGCTCATTTTGTACTTCCAAATGTCCAAACCCCACACACAGCATCACCCTTTAGGACAATGACCATTTGAGCCATTAGGGGCGGCCTGTGGGGGTTTCAAATTTATTTTTTAAAGATTCAACCACCAGACTTTTCTCTAGTGCTCCTCTGTAGTGAAGAGCTGTGTGAAATAGCAAAAAGGGGGCAATGTTTTTTTAATATGTTGAAAATATCTATTTAAACATGCAATGACTTGAGAAAGACTCGGTAACAAACAACATAAGCGTGTTTGTTTGTGTAGCCTTTAACGCTGGCAGGAAAACCCAGGAAGGGTGCAGCGGGGTGCGAGGATGAAACACTTGTGCTTTGAGGGAGAGACTATATGAACACAAGCACTAAGGCTACTGTTTCAAAATCAAATCAAACATAAATAAATCATTACTCACATAAGAGTGTAGCACTAATGAAGTGCTGAACATTTTTTTTAAATTTCTGAACAATTCTCTGTCAGAGTCGGCAGGGGGGGAGGCACACAGGAACTTGCTGGATTTTCTGATGCAGCCTAACACCCTTACTTTCTCTCTCTTTGTTTCTTTCATTGCAAAGTTTGCTGGAATATTTTTAGAGATCATTTTGTTAACACAAACTATTGGTTAGGATGCGTCACTACTATATACACTTATACTGTATACACTAATACTGTACTATACTGATGAATTAGGAGATTGATACCAGACTCTATGCTGTGCTCAAATGACGCTGATTTTGTATCCTAAATTTAGATTTTATAAGTCCCTAGTCTCTCTGTGTCTCAGTATAGTAAAGTCGAGCTACAGTTATTGATTATAGTTCGATTAGGCAATTTAATTGGCTGTTCTCCTTGTCCCAGTATAGAAGCAACAATGGAAAATCTATTTATTGAAGGAAGTATATCCGATTCTGCCACGATAGAAGCAGATATGCCCCCTTTCAGTTTTGCAATGGACCTTCTTCTGGTTGAACTCGCTAACAAGTGAGCAAGTGGCAAACTGGTTGTATGTCGAACGGTGAAAACATGGACAACTCTTTACTCTGTACATTTCATACTACTCTACACTTTACTTTTGGTACAAATCTGAGGCATGCAATCCCTGAAGCTTATCATGATATCCAAAGGCAGATGACAGAGCAACTTCTTTTATACTACGCATTTCTGCTGCACCACTTTCGGGTCAAAGTCTGACGTTGGAACTGTGGAGCAGGCGTAGAACATCACATCTCTGTTTTCAGTCACACTAACAACTTTACATTCATCTGTTAAGTCCAGTTTTAGTCAGACTAAAAGAAAAAAAAAAACTTTTCTACCTGCATGTAAAAGTCCTGACTGACTTCTAGTGGAGAGTGTCTGGGCATTCACATGGTTAATTAAGTAGTAGCACCACCAGCACTGCTTGTGCTCAACATATAACTGTGGAAAGAAGGCTGAATCTTTGTAGTCATTTTACACTATGAGGTAAGTGGGAAGTTGGGCTTTTTTTTTGTCTTGTGTGAGATGTGAGTTTGTGAAGATTTTCACAGCAAGCCTAATTTGTGTAGAATAGTTCAATGTTCAAGACTCTTCTAGTGCTATGACGACATTCTCATGTCGGTGAGAGGTGTTAATACACCCAGAAAGTCAGCTTGGTTGCAGCTTTTAATTAAAGAGTACTTTTGTGTGATTTGTGTGTGTGTGTGTGTGTGTGTGTGTGTGTGTGTGTGTGTGTGTGTGTGTGTGTGTCTGAGTGTGTGTGAAAGAGATAGACAGAGAAAGAAAATGTGTGTGTGTGTGTGATCTCTGTGTGACCTTTAAAAGTGTGACTCCAGATGGATTGTCATCAAGCTGTCTCTGAAGTGATGCTGACACCTCACCCGCCAACTCAGTTATACCGGTGTGTGTGTGTGTGTGTGTGTGTGTGTGTGTGTGTGTGTGTGTGTGTGTGTGTGTGTGTGTGTGTGTGTGTGTGTGTGTGTGTGTGTGTGTGTGTGTGTGTGTGTGTGTGTGTGTGTGTGTGTGTGTGTGTGTGTGTGTGTGTGTGTTTCTGACTCCATGCCAGTGTGTCATTGCTCAAATTGGTATCGAGGCAGAAACCGGGGTGACGAAAATAAAGAGGAATGAGGTGGCGGAAGAATGTACAGTGCAGCATGAGATGAATGCTTTATGCTGGCTTCTAGTCTGACATACAGTCCTCACATAATCTCCCCCTAAGTATTACTATTTTTAGCACGACAAACTATCACAGTGTGCCTACTTTTTACAGTCCATTTTCTGCTGTAACGATTATACAGCCAGTG